GCCCTAAACATTGCAGTTAACAGCAGCGACATTCAAAACGTACGTTAGGACTGCGTTTACTGAAAAAATGCCGGCTAACGTTAACATTAGTGCCCTTCTTTGACGTTAACATTATACTATAAGCAGTGACGCTAAAATAGCATTCAAAAGCACTAAGGAAATGCAGCGCTTTACAGCGCTGTGTAAAAACAGCGTTTCCCAAAAATGAAAACATTCCTTTATCATGATATTCTTACAACACTCAAAAAGCAAATAAGAAATGTTCACAGTTGTTTTGATTTACTTACAAGTTGTTCCATTAAGTTTGCTCCGGTCGCTTGCGAGTCTCCGCCATGTTGAATGGATTCTTCTGAACGTCGGTTAGAGCAACGAGGTGACGTCACTTTACGTCACTCAGTAAACTTAAAAATAATAATTTAAATAGAAGAGTTTACTCAAAACTGTTGAGCCACACAAAAATAAAACTAAATTCCTCGTTCAGAAAATGCAATTGTTATAAGTTGCATCAACGATTTAACAGACTTTAATTGCAGTGTTCTTAATCTTTATAAGTTAGTAGTACTGTGTGATGTAGACATGTGGGGGCGTGTTAGAACGAGCCGTTTTAGGTAGGCGTGGTTGACTCTTAACTTTTATAAAGAATATCTCTTTGGATTTGAGACTTTAGTCTTTGCAACTTTACAGATCTTCTTTATGCACCAAGAGCTTGTAACACTCCAAAGAGAAAGGAAAACTTGAAATCGCATCATATGACCCCTTTAAGACTTAATTTTTAAGGGTTTCAGGTCCTATTTTGTACCTTATTAGTGGAAAGTGTCTTTTATTAATGTAATGCTAAATTATTCTGCACTAAGGCCTCAGTAGGCCTCACTTCAGCAACCGTTAGGATTTAATCTTCTTAGAGGTACCTCTCTCTGTGATGTCATTGTTGATGGTTCCTCGGGACAGAAGCTGATTCTGTAGACACTCGATTTCAGCATTCTTCGTAGCAAGCAGCTGCTGGAGTTTGGCAATCTCAGTCTAAAAAAAACACTTTAGCAGATTAGCACATTTCAGATCACAGTGAAAATATCTTTAGATTAAACCACTATTTTATTAACATTTTCATGTAAGAAAGAAGAAAACAAGGTCCACATTTTACACAACGGTGTATCTTAATATGAATGCTTTTTGGGAGAACAGGGGAATCTGACACTGACAACACAAAAGTGACAGGCACAATAGGGTTAAATACAGGTTAAAATGACCTTCCCCATTTTGGGGGGTGATAAATGGTACATTCACACTTAAAAACACCCACTATATTGTCACAAAATAGGGAAAAAAAAGTTGGACTACCACAAACAAGTAAGCTTTTTCTGTTTCATATGTAGAATATTGCTACTGTTCATATCCACCTTTTTCTTGTCGTAAAAATGGGCGCGGCCATTTGTAAATTCTATGGGTCTGGCTTCCGGTCTCATCTGCATCCACTCCGTCTAGCTATTTTTAGCTGAACAAAACAGTTAGTTTTGCTGCTTGATATTGAAAGTTGGTGTGTCTTATCATATTATTTTAATGTATTATCTTAATTATGAACACACTAGTTTGTAGTGCAAACTGTTTTACCGTTTACTGCACGTTGTTATTCTCCTCGTTATTTACCTATAGCGGCTAATGAACCGTAAGTCTCACCAATAGGCTTACTTCCACGTTGAAGAAAATGGTGGATACCACCACCAAAATGCTAGCACAACTCTCTGACATGATTTCCCAGAAAACCCATTCAAGTAGCTATGCTGGAACTACAGTAGGCTAACAAGGTTGAAAAAAGGCACAAAATTATTTATTTTGAGCTGAATTAACAAACACAAAAACTCTTTCCACACTGTAGCTTTCTAGCTAACTAAATCAAGATAACAGATTTCAGACTCTCGCATTACATCATCTTGAAGAGATCACATCATCCCCATCAGAACTTTGAGACTGCCTAAAACTTCTTTGGCAGCAGATTCCTTACATCAGTGTCCTAACCTTGTAAATGCTCAAATGTTAGCACATAGCATGACGTATGACCCTCCTGTAATTTCTGTGCCACCAACAGCACCACAAATAAACATTCCCTCATCAGCCATTGTTTAGTCAAACATGAGAGAAGGTTGCGTGGGTAGTAACAGGCAAACATGACTAAACTAGGGAAAAAGGATTTGTAGTATTTCATTACAGGCTATAGAAGACAATAAGACATGATGAAATGTACATAAAGAATGTGCTGTATGTACAGATATAGTGTGTGAATCTGTTTACATCCCAACTGCTCAACCCTTGTTCCCAAGATGGACAGTCCCGACAATCTACCAGAGAATGAAGTCATATGAACCCAAACTAACGAGCAAGTACTCACAAACAGAGATAGATGATCTATAGTAACCTTTCCACATGTTCAGTTTCCCTACACTGCTCACTTCCACACATAATGTGGTTTAAAAGATTGCCGCTAGACCATGTGGAGCTCTATCCTTGGCTAAAGCTCTCAAGCAATTGCAAGCAGTCTAAACGGGTCACCATTAAAAACTGGGGATCATGAAGCTGCAAGATTATCGTAAAATATTTAGTGAAGAGCTTGTCAACAACTGACCGAGTACCAATCAGTTATGTAAAACGGGTGTCTAATAATAATAATAATAATAATAATAATTCATTACATTTATATAGCGCTTTTCTAGGCACTCAAAGCGCTTTACATTGTCAGGGGGTATCTCCTCATCCACCACCAGTGTGCAGCATCCACCTCGCTCTTGGAGGGCCACCTTCCTGCAAAGTTTACCTCCAGCACATCTCCCTGAAAGTTTTGAGTGATCCTCAAAAGTGTGATTATGTGGTATAGGTTTGTTTAATTGGGGTTGTAGCTAAGCTCTACAGGATAGTGGCCCGGATTGGATGCCCCTGACATAAAACAAATCTAGATGGAAGAGGGTTCAAGAGGCACAAAGACTGGGAGCTCAGAGTGGCATAACAACCAAAGGAGTGTACATTTTCAAGGAACTATGACAAAGCTTGGAAAACTTAGACTTCCTGAGCAGAGGTGGAAATATTATGAAATCAACCCTGTCTTAAATGGCACTCTTAATGCAAACTTGCGGTCATGTGATCTTTCATTTTTGGGTGTCCCTATGGCCCACGAGACCGTAGGGTGTCCCATTTTATGATTCAAAAGGGTACTCCCCATGTGTCGTCAACAGATCTTGAAGGAAGCTATAGTGGTCAGTTATCCAGCAACATTACGTCATGTGAACTCAAAGGACCGCATGGACTGAGGGTGCCATTTTGGGACAGGGCCATCATCGCCCTCTCCTTTGTGTCATACTCCTCAGGGAGGATGACAAGGGATAAGGAGGGGGAGCAGGGTTAAGCACCTGAGCTGTCCGACAGCGCTCCTCCCAATGCTGTCGTTCTACCTGAGTGTGCTCGACCGTGAGCTTCAGTGTAGAAAGCTTGGTCATGAGCGACTGGTAACAGACATGGAGGGAATAGGTGATAGAAAGCTGAAGGAAGAGAAAGCCAGAGGGATGTTCATTATGCTAAGAGCTTAAGAGATTGTGAGAGTGCAGTGAACAATTGAATAAAAAGTATGTATAGAAGAGTTACAGGATCAGGGCAAGAAATTGCATTGACAAGAGTTTGCATTTAAGGTTAAGCCAATATGGCTAAAGAGACTGTTAGTAAATGCTGATGGGGCAGTTAAAGTTCGTAATGAACAATACAGAACGACAAGATACTAGACTAAAGGCTAATAGGAGTCCAGATTAAATATGCATTACCTTAGTGGCTTTGAGCTTCCTTTCATATTGTGATTTCTCACCCTCCAGTTCTTCAACTTTGCTCTTAAGAAGGCGAAGCTCTTGTAACAAAGCCTGATGAAAAAACAGAAACAAAGAAGAACAAATTACACACCACCTTGCAGTGGCAAATATCCAACCATTCTGGCAACTGCTCCTGGAAAAACTATGCTTCTGTCTAAGGTACAGAGATCCTAAATTGACTTTGCAGAAAAATAAAACCCTGAGACTTTCTTGTGCATGTGGAAAAATGTTCTTGTGTGCACTCGAAAATTCTATGGGCTTTTTTTCCTACAAATTCCACTTCAGGGGTTCCGTGCTAAGGTCATTCATATCAATACAAAGGAATTCAGGAGAAAGGGTTTGGACTGACCCATGAAACCCACACACCGTGCAGTTAAAACACAAGAAAGCTCTGGAGATTCCTGGAAAACCTTATTAGTTTCTTAAAAAGATAACTTGGGTCCTCAAAAACTGCCCATATTGATCAAGGAAAATAATCTAATAGAGTCACCACTAAGCCCACAACCCTTCTGGAAGCTCTCTGGATCTACGCAGCAACCGTTAGCGTTAGTGAACTTCCATCATGCAGGTTTACACCCAAAATAATTCATGACATTCTGTCATCGGAACACACTGCAAACACCAGTAACCATGAGATTCCCACAGTGGAGCCCACAAACAAATTGGATTCACTGTAGGAAGAGGCAGTTAGTAGTAATTCCTGTTGAAGTGTCCAAAAGTGAGATGGGGGAATGGTTATGTTTTAGGGTAAAGCAAGGCGGTAAAAAGGCGGTCTTGAAGCAAGTCCACCACGTAATGAGGATCTGCCTACATTCTCTCCTCCACTTCTACAGCAGCAGCTGCATTCCTCAGCATCAGAGGCACCAAGGCCCACATCGGGGCTCTGGTCGAGAGCCTCGCGTGTGCCACTGTCCCCCAGGCTCTCCAGGGCTCGCTGCTCCTGGATGCGATTGCTGATTTCCTCCTGGAATTTACACATCTGCTCCTGTAGTTCACTAATTAGATTAACCACATTCTGAGAGAGCAAAAACAAGAAAGCCAGAAAAAAGGAAAACGTTGATCAGATTTGGAAACACGGTTACACATAGACATAGATGGTCTTATGACTAATCGGAGTTCTCTGAATAGGCATATTCATTTTTGGCTTTGTGGACTTTAGGTTTTAGAATCTAATAAGTCACATGTCCACTCCAGACAAGTATTTCTGGAGGTTCAGGTTCAGTTTTCTTTAGCGTTTGGCCCTGTGGACTTTCAGAAAAGAAATTCTCTTAAAACAAACTTAAAAAAAATTATAATAATCTGTCCACAATCAATGCCCAACAGTGTTTATACACATACCTTCCATGTTGTCAGCATTTTTTATGTTTTATGCTTGAAATAACGTTCTTCTGTATAAATGGTAAAGGTGGTGAAGGGACCTGCATTGTGACCTACTGTTTGCTGGTAAAAAAAAATTTACTGACCTACTTTTCAATTTAAAGAAGGGTCTATATGAGGACAAGCTTTTCTGGGAACCAATATACTGCATTTCAGAGGATAAAATGCAGGTGCTTGAGATTCAAATAAATGTTGGGCATCTGTAATACTTAATCTGTGACGTATGACGGTACCATGCACCAATTACAAGATCTGACTTTAGCAAGTAGCATGTTAATGTTGTTTGTTTTTCACTTGTGAACAAGTGAATGATTAGTCAGGTTAATCTTGGCTATTCTGACAGAAATGCAAAGGCTGTCAGCCAGAGGAAGTTTAATATGATATTCCTTGTTGATGCTAAAGCTGATGATAAGGCACACGTTCCCCGCTTATATTTAGCTCTATGCTGAAGGTTTGAGAGTGGGGGAGATGTGTGTGGTGAAAGTGTTTTGCGCCTATGGTATGTTCAAAGTGAATTTCAGCCTTTCTGTCCTGTTGAATGGAGCCTTGCAGCTGTCACCCTTGAGGCCAGTGTTTGTTGATGCAACAAATGCAAGGAGAGCTCTGTTACCACAGAACGAAGAGTGTGCAGTAACATTATTGATTTATGAGAAAAAAGGTAAGAAAGAATGATTTACAAGATTCACTTAGTAAACCCACAAATTTCAACATTAACCAGTCAAAGAATATGCACATACTTTTATGACAAGCAAGATTTGTGCAATTATTAATTTTACTGTTTATAAATATGTATGTATACACACACACACACACACACACACATATATATATATATATACATACATACATATCAATGCAAATATAAATGTAATATAAATACACATAAAATAAAAAATTAAAAGTAAAATCTATGTACCCTAACTGAAAACACACATTGTGCTGAACATCTATTAGCAGCCTTTCCTTTGCTTTTTGCTTCATTTCTAAAGGTGAATGACACCCATTGCAGATATGTGTTAAAAAGCATGCGCATGTTGTGTGCAGCTGAACACTCGTCAAGACAAGCACTGAGCACTTCTGGCGTCTGTCATTTTGTGCTCATCAAACTGCCTGTCACTATCTCCCATTTAGGCCCACCGCATGCTTTTGTGTCTCTACTGATTAGCATCTTCCCTTAGCAGCACATTCCCTTTTGGCACTGGGAGCATTTGTGGGACGTGGGGTTTGAATGTGTGTGTGTACATATCTGAAAATCATGTTTCTGTAAACACACTGTCAATGTGGAAAGGCTGAGTCTCTGTGATAGCCCGACTCAAACGAATGTCAAAGACATAACAATGAGACAACTATTGGCTCAGAGTCAAATTCCTTCCTGTTTTTGGTCTCTTTGAGTCCTTGGTATACTTACCTGAAATTAAACACCAGGAGAATGTTCACATACTAAATGAGAAATTGAAAAGCCATTTTTTTCTAATCACCAATGACTTTTTCAATATAGACTGCACTCACAAAGAACAACTTTAAGCAGATGAAACATTTTGAGCCGAGGATACCAAGACAAATGTATATTCACTATGAAAATTCCCATGACTTTAAGCTTCTGTTAATATTAATGGCTCTTCAAGGCTTTGATTTCTCTGATAGTTCCAGGTTTTCCAATGGCTGTGGGAAACCCGTTCACTTGCTGTTTGGGAAAATGTTTTGAAAAAGGAACCATTCCATCTTTAGAAAGAAAGCCAGAGATTTAGTATGCTCAAGAAAAATAAAGCACAGAACAGATGCTCCTTTAAAGTTTTATGATGTTTTTCTGAGTCTCTGCTTAGTCTGTTGGCTCGGCACACAGTGTGTTACACAGCGAGTCTGAGAAGTAATTAGGTGTTAAGAGGCGATAAATCTACAGGATCTACATATACACACCACAACATAAACATGCCACCATGACTTCCCTGTCCTCTAGTTATGTTTCCATGCGCCATATGGAAACATCAGATTAAATATCAGCTCAAAACCTTTTGAGCATGTTTACTGATCTTGTATTTCAACATGACGCTCTTGGTAACCACAATATTGTGCCTGAAATCAGTTTCTCTTCTATAGAACCATACACTTTTTTTTATTAATACACCTCTAAATGTATTTAACAACACATATACTGACATGGCTGCTTTCTGTGTGTGTGGTTTCAACTGAATTAGAGCCAACAGGTGGACAACAAAGACCTCAAAAAGACCTAAATAGCATCATTCAGTCAACCAAAATCATTCCTAGTCAACAAATCCAAGTATTACAAATTACATATTTACATATATATTAAATATATATTACTTAATATAGTTTATATTGAACTAAGCGTTATTGTTACTAAAATAAAATAAATAAAAAATAATAAATCAAATAAAAAAATACTAATGCTTTCTGTAATTTAAATAAAGCTGAAACAAGATAAGATAATTATTAGATAAAAAAACTTAAGCTTAAAAAAAGTAAGTTGAAGTACTAAAATTACTAAAACAAAAATAACTAATAACGTAAAACTAATAAATAGGCAAAAGCACATAAACTTCAAACTAAAATTAACATGAAAACTAAAAATATAAAAATAGAGGCTAAATAATTTTTTCATATTTATTAAATTAAATTATTTTTTGCTGTGATAATAAAATTGCCATCATGAAAACAATGTATTGGTATCGAGTACTGGGATTGTGACATCCCTACAATACAGACTACACAAATAGAGGAAGTAAACAGCCATAGGATTAAATCATAATTATTTAGAGAACTACAATAATATGATTTTAAACAAATACCATCTCTTAACAGATGAACCCATTGCCCTGTATGAACTGACAGACTGATACAGTACCTCGGCTTTATGATGTTGCTCCTGTTCATCAATGTGGTTGTGTTCCTCCTCCATGCCGACTAGCTTGAGTTTCAGATAGGAAACTTCATCCATGAGTTCCAGTTTCTGTGTCTCCAGTGAGGTTCGGCTGAGGAGCTCCTAAAGCACATGCACACACATGGTGACACACAAATACACCCACACAGTTGTACTGTATACAGTAACAATCACACGGCACACAGATGCTCCTCGCTGCTCCACTGGCCAAGTTCTCTTACAGTAACGCTGTATGTTGAAGCTAAGCGCCACTAAATATACTCCAGCAATGAACGCTATTTTTACTTCCTCTGCCTCTCTGGTGCCTGCATGTGAGAAAGTCAGGAGGGCCAAAAGAGGGAAACTTTGTTTCTCAGCATTCCTGATACTATGGGCTAAATTCAGCAGGACACGGAGAACCTTTGCTAACCAGTGTTTAAAAAGGGAATAAATTGTTTTGTGCACATAAGAACACCTAAAAGTATTGTGGTGATATGATGATGGTATCAGATGGTAAAACTGTAGTATTTTGATATTTACTATTGTGCCGAATTATTACAATATTCCTACAGTATACCTTGAAAAACTACACAGTATTACAATGGTATCAGGTAAAAAATGGTCTGCCTCATGAACTTTTGTTTAGTAAATAGTTTGCCTAAATTCAATTCCCCCAAAATCAGTGCAGCAAAAAAAAAAAAAAAAAAAATGTGTCTGGTCCTAGTTATGCCTCATACTTTGACCAGAATTACCCTCAAACACACTGACGATTTTTAAAAAAATTGCACAATCACTTCCTCTTTCACCTTATGTACTTCCCCCTTGTAGTTTCTAAATCAGAACACAAGTCCCTTGCCATTCTAACTATCAGAAAGCTCAGATGGTGTGCTCATGTCTCTAAATCTATTTTCTCATACTTAGTTTAATCTAGTAGTATGTATGTCAAGTGAGTCCCAGACATAGTGATGTTGGATGAAAACCAATGAATGCATCATAAAGTTCCTTGGTATATCGATGATCTCTTGGTTCTGTAAAATACAGTGGACATGAGTCACAATCAGCCACCAACATCACAGATCATGGAGTGCAGCAGTGGTTTTCAAGCTTTTCTACTCCAAAAACCCTCATTGGCCACAATAAAAATGTAAAGGCTCCACAACTTTTCCAGCTGTTTGGGATTTACTGGATAAGAATTACAATTACTACAACACATTACTAAAGTACACTAGAATACATTACTAGAGTATACTAGAACACTCTAATTAACATTTCTCTTCAACAAATCTCTAAAACATTTCTACTCAATATAAATTTTACACATTACACTTACATATTATTGCTCTTTTGTTGGTTTTGATTGCCTTTTATTGTCCTCATTTGTAAGTCGCTTTGGGTAAGAGTGTCTGCTAAATGATTACATGTAAATAAATGTAATGTAAATGTATTATAGAGTTTTGAATTAATTAAAAATGTATATTCATAAAATGTACAAAACACCCATGTAATAAGAGTAATAAGACATTAATTGGGGGGGGGAATCAAGCTTTTATAATAAGCTCTCTTTTTTCCTTTTTTTTTTTAGTTTTTTAAAGAACCACTGGAATAGATTAAGCTGTCACCAGAGGGGCACACACTTTTTGCAGTTGAACTCCTATTACCTACTATAAATCATTATTTAAAATATACTTCAAGTTAATGTGATCTAATGTGAATAAAATAAATTTTACAATGTTGCATTTTCACATTTGAATTAATGTGAAATGTTATTTTTCTTATAAAATAACTTTTACTTACTTTTTAATTAATACATTTTATTGAGCACAACTGTAACACAACTATGAGGGCTTACATTCAATTTCTATCAAAATCTCTTGAATCTCCTGCAATTACTTCAAAAACCTCTAGGGGTTCACAAACTTCCACTTGGGGGAAACCCTGGCTTAAACTATCCATAATCAGATTAAAAAACTAAAACAGCTCTTTGCACTGTTGGTAAGACACTGTTGGTAACACTGTTGGTAAGTTTTTTCTAGGCTTGATTGTGTTTATGGGGTGCAGTCTAACATGTGTTAATGCTTCGTTTAAAAAAAAAAAAAAACGCATTATTTTTCACATAATTTACATTTATTCCACACCTCTCTGTCTCTTTTCTGAGAAATGCGCTGATCATTTCCTGCTTTTATGAAGCCCCGCCCTCAGAAATAGGCGATGGGCTCTGATTGGTTAGCTAGCCCAGTGTGTTGTGATTGGCTAAACCGCCTCTAGTGTGCGTCTAAACGTCCCACCCCTCACCTCAGCTGCATGTGCTCCGGTTGTATTGTAAACAACGGCGTCGTTAATATCGCTTATCAGTTTGAGCCCGATTGAGAAGCAGAGGATATTATTGAAGAGGATTGTGCAGAACCTGTGCAAGCTCGGCTTTTAATGGTAGGCCTATGTCTTTTGTTTCTTGCTGTCTCATACTTTTAGATATGCTGTTATTTGTAAATGCTACTGCTTATGTTAGCTTTTAATATACGGTTTTATCCTGATTAAAGCTTTAATACAGTACGGCAACTGCATGCGCGTCCATGTTTAACGTTTCTCATAGCCAGTGTTGGGAGTAACGCATTACAAAAGTAATAATATTACAGTAGTATATTACGTTTTGTTGTAACGCAGTAATATAACGCATTACTAATAAAATTTGGGTAATATTATTACTCGTTACAATCTCAGTAACGCAAGTTACAACAACATATTTTAACTCAAAATTAAGTGGTGAAGATGACGGAATATTGTTTTTTGTTTGTTTCCGCTGTTCGATCACGCCGGCGCCTCACACACGTGTTCATTATCAGAATAAAATACAGTCAACCAAACATAGATACACTCGTAACATTAATGTAGACCTACATACCGGTATCTAAATATGATTTTATAATTTTATGCTATATAGACCTACCACATTACCCTCCACTGGGTGTAGAATGTGCAGCAATAAACTACATTTTGGCATTTTTTTAATACTTCTGTGGATATTTTGGTGAAAGTAACTCAAAAGTAACTCAAAAGTAGTGTAACGAAAATTGAAATTGCAATCAACCACCGCTTTAATATGTGAGTGCCTGGACGTGGATTTTTTTTGTTGTTGTGCAAGGATCCACCTATCATAAAGAACTATGGTATTTAAGAAAACTGCCATGACTAAGCTGAAAACTGCCATGACTAAGTGAGTTTACTTGCCCCATCAAGCAAAGAAAACATGAGGGCTCTCTCTATCTCTCCATCTCTAGCATTTGTTGACACAGCCGTCCTGTCATGGAATCCTGAACATGATCCCAGGCAAAGTGGGCAATTCTCACTAATATAACCTTAAAGTGGTATGAAATTTAACTGAATTGGTATGTCAAACAATTATATGATTAGATTATATAATTTCTAAATTCATATTCTTTATGTATCTAAATAAACAATATCAAAAATATATATTTTAATATTAAAATATTTGCTATTATTATTATTGTTACATTATAATGTATTTTTTTTATAATAATTTTAAATAATATTTAATGAATTAATAAATAATTTACCAGCAGAATTTCAAGAAAAAAAAAAGTGACGAGCAAAACATATTAATCATTTAACCGTTTGTAAACAGTCACAATGACTCAAATCCTTTCTTTCTGAGTAAGTCTGCATTTTTTTTTCAAAAGATAATAAAACATTAAAATCCTCCACACAAATAAGCATATATTTCTGTGGTTTCACTTGACAATGCTAAATAACATAGCTGTTTCAAAAACAGTACTTAAGAAATTATACAAAACCATTTCTCTATGCAAATCAAAGGAACGCTTGCCAGCAAACACTAACATGGTGGCTAAACAAGTGTGATTATAGATCCACCAGTTTAAGCCAGGTAATAATACACTAAACAGTAAAACACACAAAAACATGCACAGTTATCATACTTTACGATAATATCATCTACACAAAGAAACAACAAACTTTGTAGAGACACACATGGATATGAAGGTCTGAGGGTATAATTATGCCAGGACTGAGTAAACAACTGGTAACCCACATTCATAAATCTAGTACATTGAAAATATGCACCAAGTCTGAACATTTAATCGGAGTCAAGTCTACACAATTAAATCTGAAACTGATGGAAACTTACAGATTGCTCAAGTTTCAGGTGGTAAACAATGTTTTGCAAACCTTCACAATTCTGCTTAAAACTTGACGTAAATGACAGCAAGCATGCGATCTTACCTGTTGGAGCATTTCCTCAGTAGAAATGAGTTTGTGGTGGTGTTCTTCCAGGGAACTTTCCAGATCTCTAATGTTTTCTCCTTGAGCTTCAACCTGGTCAGTGAGAACACTCACCTAAAACCAATAGATGGACAATTGACAATGTTCACTCAGGCTAACCTGAAACCTGGCCAGTGTTTCTCTATCGTTTCCTCCGACAGATATGCTCATGACGATTGCAACACACATGCAAACCCAAAGTCTAAACAGCAGAGGGATGTCCTTCAAATGTGTACATCTGAGTTAAAAACGTCCATTCCTTAGCTCTGAGATACTTCCATGCTAACATGTGAGCCTGCTTGAGTTTCAATTGTTTTGAAAGTGTCCTTTTGTTCAACACCAACTGAAGGACTGCCAACCAGCAGGACAGGTAAAAGGAGAAGAACAACACCTTGAGGGCATTAGGAGCCAATCATGTTCATCAGTGTTTTAAACAATCCACCAATCAGAGCACAAGAGGGGCAGGACTATGGAGAAGGGCAACTTTTTTGACACTTGTTGCAGAGTTAGACAACCTAACTTCTTAAAGGTGAAGTGTTTAACTTTTTTTTAATGTTAAAATACTTTCTTTCACCCCTGTTTAATATGCAGAGACAACTACAAGTAAGCCTTTAATACTCTGTGGTGATTACAAAACAATGCTAGGTTTGTTTGAGCGGCAACTGCTAATAATTAATCTGTAATGTTTTTACTATAGTACTAAATTATTAAATTGTGCTGTGGAGAGGTTTGAGTATTTTTCTAAGCAATATGATTTATAATTTTTTTTTGGTGGACAATAAAATGGCTTACTGATTTAAAACCTCATTTTATAGAATTTTATAGAGACTTAGAGATGAGTTACTTTCACCTGGGCATAATAAGCAACCACCTAGTAGACAACTTAACCACCTTGCAACACTAGCAAGGTGCCTAGCAACACTCTAGCAACCATCTAGAATACCCTAGCAACCATCTCAAAGCCCTAGTAACCACCTAGCAATGCCCCAGAAACCATTTAGAATACCAAGTGACCACCTAGAACACCATAGCAACCACCTAGCAACACTAACAACCATCTAGCAATGCTCTAGAAACCACTTAGCAATGCCATAGCAACCATTTACAATATCTTAGCAACCACCTAGAAGCCCTAGAAACCACCTAGTAATGCCCTTGCAACAACCCAGACACCCTAGCAACATCATAGAAACAATCCAGAATACTCTAACCACCTAGAAGTCTTAGCAACCACCTAGCAATGTCCAAACAACCATCTAGAATGTCACTGCAACATCCTAGAAGCCATCTAAAATACCTTGGCAACCTAGAAGTCCTAGAAATGATCTGGCAATGCCATAGCAACCATCTAGAACAGGGTTGGGCAACTTCGGTCCTGGAGGACCACTGCCCTGCAGAGTTTAGCTCCAACCCTAATTAAACATACCTGCCTGTAGCTTTCTAGTGATCTTGAAGAGATTGACTAGCTTGTTCATGTGTCTTTGATTAGGGTTGGAACTAAACACTGCAGGACAGTGGACCTCCATGACCTAAATTGCCCAGCCCTGATCTAGAATATCATAGCAACTGGCTACCAATCACATAGAAGCCCAAGACACCACCTAGCAATGCCCTAGCAACCACCCAGATACCCTAGCAACCCCCTAGAAGTCTTAGTAAACCACCTAGCAATGCCCTAGCAACCAGTCAGACACCCAAGCAACATCCTAGAAACCATCTGGAATACCCTAGAAATCACCTAGAACCACCTAGCAATGCCCAAGCAACAATCTAAAATACCCTAGTGACCGCATAAAAAGTCCTAGAAACTGCCTAGCTATGCCCTAGCAACCATCTACAATACCCTAGTGACCAACTAGATGCCCTAGAAACCACCTAGCAATGCCATAGCAACCATCTAGAATACTCTAACTACCTAGAAGCCTTAGAAACCCCCTAGCAATGCCCTAGCAACCACCTAGAAGACCTTCAATATAGAAATATTATCATCTGTGGCATTTTTTATGGCATAAAATAATTGACCGATATATAAATCAGCAGACACATATTCTGGACATATATTTACTGTTAAATCAAAATGTCTGCTTTGGAAAAATCTCTGTTAAATGAACACAAACAAGCTTGCTAGTTTACAGTAAACACATACCGTTCTAAAGCTGATAATGGCTAAACTCTCACTGTGGTGTCCACCATTGTTGCTTGGTAAAATGTTGAGAAACCTCCTAACCTGTCCAGAGTTTGTCCCATAGCTATGTGATCTACAACCATCCCATTGTGCATTAGACAGGCAGCTGTGTCACCCTGGGCTGCAGCGCGGCAGTGTCACATGCCTCTCCGTTCACAGAGACACCACAGTCCCCCGGTTTGACCCTGTGAGGTTTTACAAGCATGTTGGCTAGCTGTCTTCTCATTGTGTTGACATTGTGACTATTATGCTGAGTTTAAATGCCTTGGAGGCCTGAGTGAAATATCTCACCTGGAGAACCAGAGACTCTTTGTCCCCTTCTAATCTCGCCAGCCGCTCTTGATAGGTCTCATTGTTGCTTGAGCACTGGAGGTTAACCTGTGGAGACACACATGTACATGTAAGTCTTCTGGATTGTAAGTGCAATTTGATCACTTGAAGTGGCTGATTTCCTCATGAGGACCCAAATATCCTCAGTGTGGGTTGTTTCAGGTTATACTCGCTTTGTGGGGACATTCAGCCCAGATAGCAAAACCTGAATCACACACACCCACACACAGGTTTCCATGTTTTATGGGGACATTCCATAGGCGTAATGGTTTTTATAATGTACAAAATGTATTTTCTATCCCTTTACCCTAACCCTAAATATACCCCTTACATAAAACATTCTGCTATTTTAGATCATTCTGTATGATTTATAAGCTGTTTTCCTCATGGGGACCAAAAAATGTCTACACAAGGTAAAAAATTACTGGTATTTCTCTCCTTGTTGGGACATTTGGTCTCCATAACGTAAGGAATACCAGGTACACACACACACAGACAGAAACTGAAAGTCAACAGAGAGGTGTGCAAGAGGAGGAGCTAACCTGCTTGTCCACTTTTTTGAGAATAAATGGCTCACTGCCAATGACAGAATAAACTTCAACAAAGAAATACGCAAGTAAGCCAAATACATTTAAGTGTTGTTTTAAATGTGTTAAATGACATGCTGGCGCCAAAAAAATTAACTGACAGCTTTGACAATAGAAACACAATAAAGGAGCTCATTACAAATTAATGGGGTCATTTGCATAAGGTTTGAGGGTCACAATAACAATGGAAAAAGAAACAACAGCATGTTGTGCCCCCGGGTTGAGATAGATAGGCAAAGACAGACAGATAGATTTTAAATTAAAATTATCATAATTTTTCAGCAAATATTGTGTGCACAATTCAAATGGATGTATGCATGGCTAGACAGACATAACATATACCAATTTAGCATAACACATTATGGTCACACTTTATTTTAAGGTCCAATTCTCGCTATTAACAAACCATTAACTATGACTTTTGCCTCAATAAATTCCTAATTTGCTGCTTATTAGTAGTTAGTAATTGTTAAATTATTGGGTAGGATTAGGGATGTAGAATATGGTCATGCAGAATATGTGCTTTAAGTACTAATAAACAGCCAATATGTTAATAATAGGCATGTTATTTAACATCTAGTTAATACTGAGAATTGGTCCCTATACTAAAGTGTTACCCAAATTATCATAAGCTGAAAAAAGAAAGATTAATGATCAAACAAATCTTCTGTCCATCTCTTCAGTCTATATCAGCAAAAAACACGTCAGTAAATACAGCATGTCGCAGAGTGCGAGATAAGACACTGTCACTTACTTGTCAGCACTAAGCTAGCAGAGCTAGCGCTTGCCACATGGATAATCTCTGTCTTTTAAAAGCTTTCGCTGTGTCCAAGGCTGTCAATTCTCACAATAAAGCTGTCTACTCAGGGTTTACAGGGCCGGCTGCCTGGAGGAGTTACAGGGTTAAGCTTGTCTAAAGGCACCGCTCAGTCCTCACACATGAGGCTTTCACTGCATAATAATTGCAATCCACAGCAAGTTTAAACTCAACCTGAGGTTATTTATTTCTTGGGAAACAGGTAATGAGAAAAAAAGTTTGATATCAGAAGAAAATATCATTTAATATGTTAATGTGAGGAACTCAAAAGAACGTAAAAGTAACAGTATCATTATTATTAATGAAGTGAGGGAAAGAACTACAATCAAATAAAGCTAATGATATCTTCGTATTAAAAATGATGAATAAGTATATTCATTTAACGATGTTGATCATGTATATATTTAAGTACTTAAATATATACATGATCAACATTGCACTGCTTCATGACAATATGTTAATTGGTAGAGATTCTCTGCAGAATCATGGGTAATGTAGTTTTTCACCAGTAATTCCACTAATGAACATGATTATTTAAAAAATAATGTGGACTGATGGCTTCAACAAATGCATATGCCATCGATTAATAACCTTGTAGCTCACACCAGTTCTGTTGTTAACGGTTTATAAGTTATCATTAAAATCAGTTCCCTTATGGATAACATTAATGGGATTTTTACTTTTGGAACCGACTGTTGCCATTCAGTGGCGCTAGTGGTTCATAAACTAGGCCTTACACTTCAGCTTTAACCTGGAAACCATAAACATAAACTGGAACATGAATTTACAACCCAAACCAACAGGAAGTGACTTTGTCTCCTTGTTTCAGAAGTCCACTACATGTCCTGATCTATAGTTAATTTAACATTTAGAGCTGAGTTCAAACAGTGAGATTCATGATGCTCTCTAGAGCACCAATTCAATTGATTACCTCCCCAGAAAGATGTTTATAAGCAAG